AATAAATAGGATGACTCAAATATTTGTTGGCACTTGGATACTTTTCTAGTAAAGATTGAAATCGGTACTCAAAAACTTCAATGCTTAAAGAATTCTGTGCTTTCCAAAAATCACAAATAAATTCTTTAAAATTTTCGCTTCCAAGTTTTGCTTTAAGCCGTTTAGGCAAATTTTAAGACATATGCCAGATACAGTAAACATGATAAGAATTCATATATTTTACTTGACATGCCGCATCTATTGCAGGATCCATGTCTGTTATTATAACCTGTGGTTCAGAACCAGTTGCATCCAAGGTTTGTTGTAGGACCCATTCGTAGCTTTCCTGAGTTTCATCACTTAAAAACGCCTGTGCTGCCAACTGTGATTTACCATCATTATCAATAAGAATGAATAAGGATAGAGGAAAATTGTATTTATTGGTTCTTGAAATATTGTCATATAAATGACATCTGAATATCGAGACCATAACATAATTTGGTTTGCTGTCATCCAAAAAATACCACTTAGCTGATTACTATCTGTATTTATTAATGGTTGAATGAACATCGTAGGATCTTCTTTTTGCTATTCAAGTAGAAATTTTAGTAAGTGCGATGCATCAGATCCAACAACATTTTTTTCACGCTTGATTTTTTGGATTGTGTTTGATAAATCTTGCGTAAGAAAAAGTTGGCCAGGAAACAAAGGCTGTAATAAATTTCTTATAGTATAAGCATCGCAATGGCCATATACAACCGCACGTTCAATTTCATTCATTATAGACTCATCAAATTTTTGAAATGCCATGGCAAATCTCAGATTATCAGCACTAATATTATGGTTATGCTCAAGATATACAAGTGTTATGTGCACAAAATTGCTGGTTTCCGGGTTACTCAAGTTAACGTGCCATTTACAGTCAGTTTTTTTTGATCCTTTGTTACGTTGTTGTTCTATCAGTTTTGTCTTGTTAGGTTTATACTTTCCAGCATTCTCACATACATATGTTCTTTTTTTAACAGGATCATTTAACGGAGTCAAATGAGATTTGTGATATTCAACTCTATACCGGTTTACCACAAATCCTTTCTGGCAGCCACACTCCTTAAAGTAGTGCTCTGCGATTGCCCAAGAATTAAATCGTGTTCCAACAGATAATTCTATAGGTTGATTTATATAATGCTTTGTAAGGTCAAGACCTTCCAACTTCAACCCAAGAACAGGTATATTAATTTTGCTATTGCTTTCAAGAGATATAGAGCCTCAAAACATTTAAAAAGCTAAGTGTTAATAATTCACTATATTGTTATACTTTCTGATTAGTACATTAAACTAACCTTTATTAATTTCTCTAGTTTCATTTT